GCATCAACACTAAACAGTAAATGTAACTAAATTTGTAATTCTTAATATTTTCGGAAGTAACTGTAACTCAATTACATATTTTTCTCATAGTAACTGTAACGAATTACAGTTATTCTTTTTTTGTAATTAAATTATGTAACGTCGTTACGTGTAATCCGTTACTCCCCAACACTGCTTATCTACGGGTACTCTGGCTTCCACCCAGGGTCCAAAAATATGCACGCTAGGTTAATTGGATACTCCAAATTGCCCCTCGGCGTAACTGTGACTGTGTGTGGTGCATGGTGTCTGTATGGATTGGTGACCAGTTCAGTGTGTACACTACATTTGCGGTATTGAAAAGGGATGGGCGTTATTATCAATCCTTATGAGTGCTCCAAGCTCGTCCATCTTTCTTCTAGTGACCTCACACTTCTATTGGTGATAAAATCTGTAAATGGAATGTGAAAAGAGAAAAAGTCAGGTCTGGTTTTGAGGTATTTCTTGTTACTTGAACTTTTGGAAAGCTCTCTCAGCAGCTCTGATTTCTAAAAAAAAGGTTACATATCGTCACCTACTGTATCCCATAGTTATGTATTATAACTGATGCAGAAATTAACATAAAAAAAAATATTCCAGCAGCATCCAATCTGAATTGATTTTTTTTTTTTTTAAATCTGCCTATTCACTCAAAATAAAGTTCATTAGAAAAACACAGGACATGTAAAAAATGCATTTTTTTCTGCAGCAAACTGATACAAGTGTAGTGTATCTGTTACCTTACAGACAAAATTAACACAAATAAAATATGTCAGTTTGGCATTTAAAATTGCCAATTTCCCTGTGTCCTAGTAATACATTTATCATTTATTTATTAACTTTAGTAAAAACTTTTTTTCCCTCGTTGACTGGACAATTTTGGCATCTTTTAATGGGTTCTTAAAAATTGAATATCTCGAGAGGCTCACATACACTTACACTCTGCCACAAGGTTTGTCTTTAAGTATTTATTCTATTAGTTCAGATTGGTTTTGATCCCCTTTTGTCTCTGTACTACCAAACAGAAGTACAAGGCGTCTCACAATTGCAACATTGTCTTGAACAAGCACTATAAAACAGATTTTCAGACCTGCTTATTTTTATGGGTAGCTATAGTTATGTACATTACAAGCAGAATTACAATCATTAAATTTACTTTGATCGATTCATTTTCAAAGCTTGATCAAACCATGTTACACATGTCTGCCATGTTAGTACAGAGCAATTCAATATCAAGTATTGAAGCAGCGTTTTTAACAAACATAATAAACATTATAAAAAAAATGGTAATAGAGATGAGGACTTTGGCATCTAGCCATTAGAATAATGTTTTTCTCTTCCAGATGCCAGCATGTGGCCTCTCTGAGAAAAGTTTTCCACGTGAGAGTATAGTAAATGTGGGGACTCCAGACATTGTATTCCAGTTGTTTTATTCATTAGACCAATTATCTTGTTTGCAGACATTGAGGTAAAAATGAACTATTGTTTGGAAAAAAAACTCTAACCTCAGCCATTTGGCATTTAAATGGCTCTTTGAATTTACTCAAGTTGCCTTTTCATCGACCTATGGAGTTATCACAAACTCTTGTTTCTCTTTGAAAAGTAACTAGTGTTGTCGTGTTGTTTCAAGTGCTCTTTATCAGCGATTCATGGCTGCATTGTTTTATTATTCTTATGATCTAGTTTTATTTATAAAGGTTATGTTGAACACTGGAATATAATCTGAAAAGAAGAAATAACTCCAATGAAGGGAAGACTTCGACAGTCAAAGTCATTTTAGCCGTGTAACTTCATCGAATGAAAATATTTCTTTCAACGTCTGCATTTGATCATTTTAATTTGGTTTGCGCATTTGACATAGAATGACTTTAAATATTAATACAAATTCATGGCCTACAGGCTACAGCTGCTCTGATGGATGGGGTGATCGGACATAGCAGGATTTTCTTCTGTAGGCAGAATACCAAAGGCTTTCTTTTTAACCTTTGAACAGTGTTGTAGTGATTAGTACCAGTGCCTCACGGCACGAGGTTTCCCGGTTTGAATCCCAGCCAGGGGCCTTTCTGCATTTTTTTTCCTCGTGTATGCATGGATTCTATGGGTTCATCAGATTCTTCCCCAAAAAAAAGCATGCATGGCCATTCTACATGGTTCTCATTTGCTTTGCTATCGACTAGTTTGTTTTTTCTAACTCTAATTTCACGTGAAAAAGTAAACGGTAGAGTACATTAACAGACTTTATCTGTTAATTAAACATCACACTGTAATCTGTTTTATTTGGTTAACGGTAAGAATGCAAAAGAAGCAAGAGTATTGTTTTGAAAATATATCACCAACATTGAATCACCTTACAAATTATGCTTTTTTTTTACACTACTCATAAAGGTTGTGAGCAGGCAAGTATCTTTCTCCCTATTTTTTTAACATATCCAATAGATCATTTGATTTTTAAAATCTTTCTCTGCTTTGCAGTTTATTTAGGTTTATTAATTCCCATGTGTGCATGTGAGTCCCAAGGAAGGGTCGAGATTTGTTTGTAAAATAAGGTTTTTGCTTATGTACAGTAACTTTAAATAATTTCATAACCAGCATATCCAGTATCAATTTCAGCTTTAAGTAACGTGTGAGTTTTCTTCATTAAACAAAGATCACATATAGTCTCTCGCATTCCTGATGTTTCACCAATCAGCACATTTCAAATGAAATACCTGATCCTTATGCAATAAGTCCATATTATTTGAATATTTGAATATGCTGGCTTTTGACAAAGTACAATACACATTGACAACTTTACAGTTTAACCCCCTTTGCGTCTTTCAGAAAGTTATACAAGCTTCAGGTGAGAACAATTCCAACCTACACTTTGGCTGGGGGGTGTAGTATCACGTGTGAATGTAACACACATGCAACCCTGCTTACATGCCGACACTCACAACCAAGTCGTTTCACTGATAAATGATTAAATATTCTTTATAAGAGGTGACATGTCATCAAGATTAACAAAGTCCCGTTATCTTTACAAGAGCTCCAATGGTTTGTTTGATGTTTACGGTTGATTTTAAAAGTACATGTGTGCATGTACTTCTATTTGTTGCCACACGTTTATTCGTATAATTAAATTAGACCAGAGGTGCCCACCACACCTATGGGGTGAATTGTTTATTTTCTTATTACTTTGTTCGATTCATTGATTTATTTAAGATCTCTTTTTTTAAAAACCATCTGCTGTGTGTGGGTGGTGGTGGTGGGTGGGTGGGGGGGTTGCTTGTTCAGTGGCGGATGCCTAGCTACCTCTGTGGTATTCTTCCTTGGTTCTGTGCTCCGGGGGGGCTGCCGGTGGACTGGGTTTTAGGGCAATCTCGACCTTCTGCGGGAGTGTTGGATGGTGGTCAGTGGCCCCTTTGGACGCATAACTCAGCACAATCTGTGTGAAACCTGGGCTGCGTATCTCGCATTTTTATGCTCACAAACACTCGGAGTCATTCACCCGAACACACACCTGTTTAAGCATCTTTACAGTTGTTGCGCAATTCTGAGATGCGTGTTCATATCCTGACTACTAGTGTTGCTGCCTTTGGTTTTTGTTGCTTTTTTTTGTTGTCTTCCCTGCATGTGTCTTTCTTTTTTTGTCTCTCTTTAGGTCTAAAGGATCTTTCTCTTCTCTCCTTTTATGTTTCTTTGCTCTCCCTCTCCCCCTGTCAGGTTTGGCGTTACTGGATACATGTCAAGTTTTGTAACAAAAAATCAATTAACCTCCTGAGACCCTGTGTCCTCATAAGTGGACGTTGCATTTTTGTCTCTCTTAACCATGATACTTCTTTTTTTCTTTCAGCTTTGACCTCTTGACCTCATAGCAGATGCTACCAGACACTGTTTGAAATCTAAAGTAAAATGGTTTTATACATTTCCATCCAATCATGTTCTTATTGTGTAATAGAAAAAATGTAAATAAGTCAATGGGACTGTCAGAACAAAATTGTAAAAACATTTAATTAAATATGTATCTCATATATCTTTAAAAAAAAAGCTAAAATGCGTGCCAAATAAAAGCTCGGGTCTCAGGAGGTTAAAAAAGTGATATTGGATAATCAAGGAAGGCTTTTCGTTCAGAATCCCTCGTCAAAGTGAATGTGTTCAGGATAGCACGGTACTCAGATTTAAGTTCTGCTACCATAATACTGAACAGGGCAAGACTAGCAATGAAATAAAAGAAAACAAAACACTATAGGTTATGTCATCTTATGGTGCTTTTCATTTGTTACCTAGTCAGCCCCAAGTGATTTGGCCCAGCAAGGCTCTATTCAAATAATGAATTATGGCCGAGTAAAAACACGGGCCATGATGTTATTTAGATACAGCGTAAGCATTAGAGAACAACGACAGACATTGCAGCACTATTTATCGACCAAACCTCAGTGTTGGACTACAATGTTGGTTCGTGCATTAGGCATTAACAACGTTTGCGATCACAGTAATCAGGAAATTGAACATTTGTTGTTTCTGCTATCTGACATGTAATGTAACCAGTCAGCACCCTGCAGTCTGCCTGTGGCCCCTAGTGTGCTAGTGGAACAGTAGATTCCAAAGGTGTTACTTTTTAGTTGGGCTAGCCCCTTGTGGTAATGCAAAAAAATATTTGAAAAGCTGTGCCACGCTGCATTAAGTAGGTTTCTAGTGGAAAAGCGCCATTAATCAAAGGAGTGAATCAGTGATCCCCAGCACGAAGAGAGACATTTAACCAATGCTGTTTCTATATTGAAGTTGGATGTTGGATATTGGTCTACTGAAAGTGCAGATTTTGACACCAGACGATGTCTTTCATCCAACTAATTTAACTAGGAACAAATGTGGCAGTTTTTCTCCACAATTGATCATCAGAATGCTTTTATTCTCCAGTGTTGCATACTTCTGATACTCTGAAGCATGCATCTTGATGAAGTAGTTTCCCCATCATATTACATAATGTGCAAATAAGCAATGGTAATCTGCACAAATGTGTTGCTGTTACACCTACAAGCAAGAATGGATTTAAGCAAAACCGTCTCAGCAAAACCATCTTAGGAGAAGTTAGGTAACACAGCATTGTATTTTACATTTTTTTCCAAACAGGGGGCATTGCTGTCTGTATGGAGGTGGGTCCTCCTAAGACCTCTTTTGCGGAACACTTAGATACACACATTTGTTGGCAAGTTAGCTGGTTCACAGGAGTTTTTGTAGGAACTGTTCTACAGGTGGCAGCTTTTCCTTACAATGGTGTTAGTTTCTGTATGTGGATCTGAACAAGAGTCATATTTATTGGTAACTGAAAAAATAGATAAAAAACATGAAAATTCACAGTAAAAAAGCACTCAAATTACAAATAAATATTTAAATGACAATTCGTCATATTTTTAAAATACATTTAGCAGCAGCTATTTCGATGTATTGAATCGAACCACAACCTTGCCCTTGATTTAAACCTCTTTTTGGCATCCAAAAAGTTGTGTTTAAATGTCGAACGGCATATTGATGTCCAAGCAGGGTCGTAGGTCAAAGTTCAAATAGTGGACCTAGTTTGAACTTTGCTAAATTGTCCAAAACTGGTCTTCGACCAATGGACGCAATAAAGACGTGATCTGCATGGCCATCAGACAAAAAATGTTTAGAGGGGACTGAATGTCTTCTGTCTTGGTGTTAACACACCAGTGGAGTTGTTTGTAGCTCTTGTATGAAATGTTTTCAGTAGGCTGATTTTTTATGTTTTATGTTGATGCATTTATCCAAAGTGACTTACAAATCAGAAACAACATTAGAGTTAACATCAAATCTAACTATAAGCTACAAAGAAGGAAATTACTAGTCAGACTCTGTTAAAGGTGACAGTGGTGACAGTGTAGAGATAGAAGGATTTTCAAATGGTGCGCTCAGGAAGGCAGTTGGGAAATTGTGACCATGGACCAAGTATTAATTTTAGCTCAACATCCGTTTAGACACCAACCATAGCATACAAAGACAATACCATTGGATCTTACTTTTTGTGGTAATTTTCCTCAGATGTAATTTTGCTGTTGATGCCTTTTGGCGTCTGGTTGGCCCAGGCAAAGAGCACGTGATCCAAAAAGATTGTGCTATAATTGATCAAAACAAACCATTGGTGCTTTTACTGGGTTTGATTGCAAGCCAGCCACACTCCAATAAATGTAACCCAGTTTGTCTACAACTTGGGCAAAAATGACTAAACTACACAAAGGTTGAAATTAAAAAAAAAATTATATCAATTGTTATACAAGTTAGATTACATCTTCTTAGGGTAACAAGAAAGTCGTAAATAAATATGTAAAATGAGTAATAAAACACAAAAACACAGGGGCGTCATCTTGTCTGGTTGGGACTCACCCTGCTGGTTATACAATGGATTCCTGAAAGGAAGACTTTCAGCCTTTCTGTTCTTTCCGTGGAAGACGACCTATATATATATATATATTTTGATTTATAATAAGTGGGTTTCTGCTGTTTGGAATTGGCGGGTGTCTGGTTTATCAGGGAAATTGGAGGTTGGCAGCAGCTGTTGCCAGGCTACCGCTCGAGACATTAAACTGGATGCACTGTGCAGCAAACAGGGGATGATGTCTGACAGTATATAGAATATTGACCCCTCCTAGGAGGAGTTGAGAACTCGGATTGGGGGCTTCTAACATGATTCAGCTGATTTGGAACCACTATTGTGTGATTTGCTGCAGACAAAACATGCCTGGAACAAAGGGGGAGCCAGTTTTATGGCTCTGGGTGTAGAGACGAAAAATGAAAAGTAAGCTAAAAAATATTTCTACATTGTACTAATTGAAATACCCATTAGTAGAGAGAATTATATAAATTACATTATGCGCTGTAAAGAAACAGTTTAGACCAGGGGTCACCAACACGGTGCCCGCGGGCACCAGGTTGCCCGCACGGACCACCCGAGGCGCCCGCAGGCCTGTTCTAAAAATAGCACAACTAAATAGTGAGCAACTTCTAAAATTTAATTTTGTTCCGTTGCTAATCTTTTTTAATCACACTTGCATTCATATAGATTTGATTTAAAATGACAATATCTTAAAAATATGTTCATTATATATTAAGTTTAAGTTTTCTCTAGTTCAAAGGTCAG